CACTTTGACCTAAGAGCTTTTTAAGCAATGAAAAGTTACTTTATCATAGGTTGATTATTCTTTATATATTGATTTCTCAAACATGAAGTCATTGGTTTTTGATGAGTTTGGGTTCCTACAAATGCATGTGAAAAAAAATCTAAAAATTTTTTTTAGTGATTACCATTTAAGCATCTTAAGCCATTTTTCTTAACATTTTATTCTTTTTAATTGGAAAATTAAAAACCTTGAGAATTTCTAAGGATAAAAGTTATAGAACCTTCACCCAATTTGACCATGGTAAACCTTAAAAATTATTGATCTTTATTTAGGCTATGAGTAATATAATGGTCGATTAATTTGTAAATCTTTTAAGGCATTTTCCTAATTTTTTTGGATTTTGATGATTTAATAATATTAAGGTTATTTTAAACACTTCACCAACTAAATTTCTTAAGCCATATTTTCTTAATTTGTTTAGTATTTTGGCTTGTCTTGCATTCATATTCTTTTTCAATCCTTCAATAAATGATCATTTGTGCTCACTTTAGGGCAATTTTATTAAAAAAGCCAAATTTACTTGATATCTTAAATAACCATTTTAATCATTCTGATTGATGAACATTCAGATGGCTTTGTTATCAAAATGCATGAGTTGTAAAAAAAGGCAAAAAAAAGAATTGATTATGAAATCATGCATGTGGGTCATTCAAATGACCTAAAGTCGATCAGAAAATAAATTGTCTCCTGAGAAATGTTTTTCAATAGGTATCAATATTTCAAATAAAAAATGACCATCTTTGAAATTTTTTTCACAAAAAAAAATATCTATTTGCTACCTCTTTTGAGTCTAGTGATTATTTTTTCTAAATGAACCTTAACCAAGGATCACCATTCAAATTTAAAGGCAAGTTTAAAAGAAAAGGATCTCATCAAGATGACGTGTGATCTTGTGTTAAAGGTTAGAAAATAATGTCTTACGTTAAGGAGTAAGCTTGAAATAAGATAAGTTTCAAAATTTTTGAACTCATGCGAAAAAAAAAAAGTGAAAAGGCATATTTTGAAATAAAAAAGATGTCTCTGAAAAAGAAATAATCTTTGATTTGATCATCTATAAAAATATTTTTGGGCATATTTATCATTTCTTTCAAAATCCTAAACCTCTGTCTATGTTACGTCTTTTAAAAAGCCTATTTTGATTAGTTATGGATATCTAAATTAAGGAGTTGTTCTTTGGGAAATCACCATCACTTTGTGATTTTTGATGAATTTTGAATGCTTAAATGCTTGATGGAATATAAAAAAAAAAGAATATGAAAAAAGAATAAAGCTCTAAGGTGAAAACCTGAAAGGATAATCTAGAGCAAGATTGAAACTCTGAAAGTAGCTCATAACTTTTCATATAACACCAAGGAGACTTTTCTTTAAAAGCCCCAATAGATTGATCTCACTATGAAGATTCCTTCTAAAATTTAAGCATTTTTCCTTTTTCAAACCTAAAATTTTGAGCCTGATATAGTTGCTCTTGACATTTATTAAAATACTATATATCAAGAACTGAAAGATGTGCCAAAATATATTGCACTTTAAAAGACTATTTTCAATTGTGAGCCTATATGAAAAGATGTTTCTATTCTCATTCAGTGGCCAAATTCCTTTGGTAATTAAGATCCTTCCTGATGTGCTAAACCATTATATCCTTTTGGAAAGACCAAAATTATGATTGATCATCTTTATTTTAGATAGTAATTACCAATTTTTAAGAGATTCGATACATGCAAAAGAGAATTGTGTGGGGCAATTTTCATTGCTATTCTTGGAAAGTTTTGAGAAATATTCAAAATGTATTGAATCTTAATACTCATGATGGGAGATAGATGAATACTATAAGAAACCTTTATGGGGTAAAAAAATGCCAAATGCGAGGGATCGATATTGAAATAACTCACTAGATGAGAAAAATGATTTTCAAGAATGAGAATGTTGAGAATGTTTGCTTTAGTGCGTGAAAGAACTTGTTAACTAATTCAGAAGCTATGTCATGGAAAAATGGAAGGAAAAAAAGTTTTGAGAATCTTATTACCATAATTAAGGACATTTGGTATAGAATTCATGCATTGTATTCATTATATTTCATGTATTGTTATTTTTCAAGGGAAAGAGATATCGACTTAAAAACTCATTGCATTTCATACATTGCATGCATTGCATCATATCAATTTTATATGTTGCATTCTTATTTTTCAGGGAAAATAGATGTTGACTTAAATTTTTTATAAAAAAAATAAAATTTTGATTAAACAAAATTTTTCCTATGGATATATTTGTTAAAACTTTTGAGATTAGTCTTAAAAACCTTCGAGTAATTCTTCCTAAAACCTCCGCGTACATCTTTAAAACTATTAAATTTTTTTAAAGTCCTACAGGATAGATCTATAAGACTTCTAGGTAGGATCTTAAAAACCTCTAGATATCATTTTTGTAAAAGTGGTTGAACATTTATTTTAGATGGCTTTTTCAAAGTTTGATTTATATGACCTTTGGATGTGATCTCTAAGTCCCTTGGGCAAGAATAGTAAATCTTTTGAGTCGAATCTATTTTAGAATCGAGATTAGTAAGACCTTCCAGGTGTAATCTCTAAGTCTTTCGAGTAAAATTTTTAAGTCTTACAAGCTAAAAAAGTCAAGATTTGTAAGATCTTCGGGCATAATCTCTAAGTCTTTCGAGCTAACTTTATTTTAGAATCAAGATTTGTAACACCTCTGATCATAATCTCTAATACCTCTTGGTGTAGTCTCCAAATCTTTCGAGCATTATCTATAAGACCTTCGAGCATGGTTTTTTAAAATTTTTAGGTACCTTTTTTTTAAAAAAAGTTATGTAGCCTTTATTTAAAGGAACATTTTTCAATGAATGATTTGAAAAACCTTTAAACTTAATCTTCAAGTTCTTTGGACGCGATCTATAAGACCTCTCGGCATGATTGTCAAAATTTTCGGGTGCCATCCTTAATTTTTTTAAAAAATTATGTGCCTTCATTTTTGAATAATTTTTTTAAAAAATAGAAGTCAAATAATTTAGGCCAGGATGTAATAGGTATCCATATCTTTACACAATTCTTGTTTCACAAAAACTGTGCAAAGAGGGACAGTTGTAAACATCCTATTTAGTTTGAGACTCAAATCAATTGTGCTCAGATTTGATCTAAGCCTAATTGTCCAATTTCCTGCATTTCTTTTTTATATTTTATATTTTTATATTTTTATTTATGTTTTTTTATGTTTTAGTTTTTTATTTATCTGATTTAAATTTTTATCATAAATCAATAGTTATCCATATCTTGTTCACAAAAACTGTGCAAAGAGGGACAGTTGTAAACATCCTATTTAGTTTGAGCATTTTTTTTTGTCAAATTTCTAAGCCTAATTGTCAAATTTCTTGCATTTTTTTTATATTTTATATTTTATATTTTATATTTTTATTTATGTTTTTTTATGTTTTAGTTTTTATTTATCTGATTTAAATTTTTATCATAAATCATGTCAATGAAATTTGTGGAGTAATTTGAGCACTAATTAAGGAAGATCTCGACAATTAAGATTAAAGCATGATCTTTTCAAATATTAAAGGAAAATTGGAATGAAATCAAATCAGAGAATCAAAGTCAGATTTAATTTGAGAAATTTTTAAAGATTCTAAAATGAAAAAAAAATTAAGATAATTTCAAAATTAATTAAATTAATTTTTAAAGAGAATAAAAAATTAATTCAAAGCATAATAAGATTTGTAATTATTTCTATTCAATGCAAATCCCTAAAATTCTTAGCAGAAGACCTTATATAAACACCAATCAACCACACACAAAAGAGAGGAAAAAAAAAAAAGAAATCCCACCAGGAAATGGATGAGTAGCAATCTATACTTAAGCTATTTGGTTGGAATTGGTGGTAAAGCTCTTTGGTTGAAATTGGTGACTATCTGTCACTACAAAGTAAAAAATACTTCCACCTAAGCGTGTCTCCAACCATTAAGGTAATATTTTCATTTTGTTTATTTATATAATTATTCATTTATTTCACTTTTTTTATGTATGTTTAAAATAAAATTTAAAGATTGTGAGTTTTAAATTATAAATTTTTTATTTCATGGGTTTAGAAATTTTAAATTCTATCAAACTATTTGAGAATTTTATAATTAAATTTTTTAAAAAAATAATAATAATAATAAAATTTTCAATCATATCAAATTATTGAAGAATTTAAATCTTGAATTAAATCTTATCAAACTATTATAGTACTTAATGAATTTTTTAAAAATAATAATAATAAAATTTTCAATTCTACCAAACTATTGGATGATTTAAATATTGAATTGGATCTTAACAAACTAGTAGAAAGTTTAATAAATTTTCTTAAAATAAATTTCAGACATAAGTTTACAATAAAATCTCACTAAATTATTGAAAGATCTACATCAAAGTAAATCTTATCAAATTATTAGAAGATTTTACTAATTATTTCTTTAAATAAAATTTAAATGAATATGATGATAGAATCTTTTTAAAATGGAACACTAATCTTCATGAATATTCATAAAGTAGAAAAATTATCTTAAATTACTATTAAATTATCAGAGTAATTTAGAATTAATTTTTTATAATTAAATTATTTGACAAATTATAAAAATATTTTTAAGTTTTAATAACTTAAAATAAAATTGGTATCATTTTTTAGATGAACGTTATGAGGATGTTATAACTTTTTTTTATGTGTAATCGTATTTTTGAACTTAAATATGATTTCATAGACTAAAATTTATTATTTAAATATTTTTAATTTAAATTTAAATTTATTTTTAAATATAATAAATTCGACTAAATAATCAATCATATTCAAATAAAAAAATTAGTGTTGACTTTTAAAATTTATGTTGGTAGCTAAGTTTTGGCTCTATCTTTTTATAGTTGTATGATTGATTTAAAGCTAAAAAAACCTATGTTGCCGTTCCATATGTCTTCCCATCCGGCTCAACTTCCTTCTCTTCTTCCTAAATTTGGCTGCTTCTGTTTGATCACTTATTCCCATGAATTTCGTTCTAACCACTTCAAGACAGCATAAACATTAAACAGAACCTTCCAAATCCAATAGCAATGCAACATCGAATATTGTCGATATTTCCATAGTTCATGCACCCTTTAAATTCGTCCGTTCAAGGTCAAATCAAATTCCCTTTCCAGTACTGTCTCCTGGCTCAAATCCTGAATCATGGCTAGCCTGAAATCTGTGGCTTTTTTGTTTCTCGTCATGATTTGCAAATTTGTCAAATTTTCTGAACCTTTCTCTGCAGCAATTCACCCAAAATTTTTAGCGCCGGCCCCAGATTTTTCTCCACCAATATCCGTTTCCCCTACCTGTAGTCCTGTTCCTTACTCGCCAGAACCCTCTACACCTCCCTACCTGCCAAGTCCAAGTCCAAGTCCAGCTCCAAGTCCAACTTCTTACCCGCCGGTGCCTGCAGCTTCTCCAATTCCTCAAGGAATCAAAGCTGCTTATTGGCCATCATTTGATTCCTTTCCAGCTTCCTCCATTGACACTTCGTTTTTCACCCATATTTATTACGCCTTCCTGTTGCCCGAACCTAACACTTTCAAACTCAACATTACCCTATTGGACCAACAAAAGTTATTTGAATTCAGGATTGGGCTAAGCGCCAAAAACCCACCCATTCAGACTATACTTTCCATAGGAGGAGGCGGGAATGACCCGGATGTATTTGCTCAAATGGCAAGTACCCAAGAAACCCGTGGGGCTTTCATTAATTCCACTATCGAAGTGGCTCGAACATACGAATTTAATGGTGTTGACTTAGACTGGGAGTTCCCTGCAACTGTCAACGACATGGCAAATCTTGTGTTGCTGTTCAAGGAATGGAGAAAAGCACTCAAAATTGAAGCCAAAACTAGTGGAAAACCACGTTTGCTTTTAACTTCTGCTGTGTATTACTCTCCAGAGTTCACTAGTTATGGCTTGTCTCGATCTTATCCAGCCCATGCTATAGCCAAATATTTAGATTGGGCTAGTCCAATGTGTTATGATTATCATGGAAAATGGGATAATTTCACTGGGATACATTCAGCTCTGTATGATCCCAATGGTACTATTAGCAGTAGCTATGGAATTGGGTCTTGGATTCGGGCTGGGGTGCCGCCCAAAAAGTTGGTGATGGGGTTGGCATCATATGGGCATACATGGAAGCTCAAGGATCCGAATATTAATGGAATTGGGGCACCAGCAATTGGTGTGGGACCTGGAGATGAAGATGGGCTCTATAATTATTATGCCATCGTTGATTTTAACAACAAGAATAATGCTACAGTCAAGTTTGATTCGACAACTGTGTCCTACTATTCATACGTTGGAGACTCCTGGATTGGGTACGATGAAGTTGGGTCCATTAAACTGAAGGTTCGGTTTGCACGGTTTAAGGGCTTGGCTGGATATTTCTTTTGGGCTCTTGGTTATGATAAGGATTGGGCTCTCTCAAAACAAGGTATGAATTACTTGATTTCACGAGTCACGACTTAATTGCAAGAAAATAAAAGAAATAATTAATCTGGAAATCTTGATATACTAAAGAGGTTTTTGACTAACGTGTGTTCAATTCTGTTTGTTGACAATTGGCAGCTGCAAGGGAATGGGATTACAATAAACATTGAGCAAAACCATTCGTTGCATCTTCATCAGCATTTATGAACTCTAGTTGTTCATTCAATAATAATAATTATTATTATCATTAAACATGAATGCTGTAGGATCTCATTTATTTGCAAACTGCCCAAAGTTGCTTTTATGTAACTTTTACATTTGATAAAGAGAAAAAAATTATTGGTTAAATCAACAATTAGATTATGCCAACATTTGTGCATTTTATTATAATTGATTTATAATCCACGTGTTTTACAGAGAAATCCCTCTTTCTTCAAATAAAAAATGATTATGCCACTACGTATACTGTTTCGTGCAGTGGTTGATGGTCTACATAATCACCTACAATTGATGAATCCTACGTACTTTCTAGTAAAAATATAATTAATTGGAGAGGACTGAGGAGTTACAACTAAACAAGTAATATATGTCAAGAAAATTGATTTGAAATTACCATGCATTCCAAGCCACCTAATGTTTGGACAACCCAAACGGATAATAAAATTATTGCCTTTCACCTATGTATCCAATATAAACCATGGATTGGTGAAATTGTTACTATTAACATTCTAGTACATGGAATTCTCCTTATAGTAACCAATGCTAAAAAAGGGGTTTTACCCTTTATGTTAAAAAGGATTTTATGGAATTTAAAGAGACAAGAAATTATATATTGATTCGATAATTTGAGGATTGTTGAGGAAGAAAATTTAATATTTATTGTTTTTTATATTTGAAATTATCACAAATTAATTTTTTATTATTAAAATTAACATATCAATATTCTATCAACATATCACACTATTATTAATAATACTTAAAATTTAAATTAACTATAATAATCTTTTCCTTTTACATTCAAAAGGAAGTGGAAATTTTAAAATGGTGTGGATTAAAAAATTAGGTATCTATTTTGAAGGTAGGGTCATGCATTTTTTAAATATTTCAAGCTTTTTGTTAGCTAGCTATTTACCTAACTTTTTTATTTGTCAATATAAAAAATAAAAGCAAAAATCTGATGTTGTTCTGCCTTATCATGTACTTATTATGACAAGGAATTATAAGAAAATTTGTATGGTTTTTTTTTTTTATTCTATTCTAAATTTATAATTATTATTTACGGAAAAATTTTCTCCAAATTCTTCTGCTTAGCTAGTAATAAATGGGATATTAGTGAAAATTAATAACCTCCGATATGTTTTCATTTATTCTCTCAAATCAATATTCATTGAAAAGTCTTCAAGTTTGAGTTAATTGAGAGAAAAAGTTTTTATTGCCTTTGGGATAGATACACGGATACTAGTTTTCGAATGAATTTCACATAATTAAGAATCAGTTGCAGAAGCATTTTATCTTATTCATTGAAAAGAAGAAAAACGATCATAATTGTATAGTGCAGCACTGCAACCACCTGTCCCATGTGTAAGTGTTTCTATTAATTGGGAAAAAGGGTAAGTTACTCTTGATCTAATAAGTTCTATCCTTGGGAATGATACCATTTCATTAGAAAGCCTGGAAGCAGTCAATTTTAATGACTGGAAACAGTAAATTTTATTTATTTTTTGACTCAATTGAGGAAGGGAAAGGAGTGTACTGATTTATAATTTATCTCTAAATTTTTTTTGATTTTGAGGCTTCAAACTTTAATGCGAGTTTTTTTAATTAACTAAATCTTTTATTATACATATATTTTGAAACTTATTTCCTAAATTTAAGTTTAGTAAGTTAAATTAAATAAAAGATATTTGAATTTTAAATTCAATATAAATTATGTCGTAAAACACGTATAAATATAACCTTCATGATTTTTATTACATTTGGAATTTTTTTCCAAATCCATTAATATGTCAATGCGGTGTTAAAATATGAACAAGATATAGACATAATTTGCCGCATTTATATAATAAATATTATCTAATTTTTTACGATTATAATAATATTTGATCTGAAGAACTTATTCGATAAATATAAAAAAAAAAGTTATTATCATAATTTTTAGTTGAATGTAATTGGTAAACTAAATTTGAATTTCATTTTATTCAAATATATTATTCTATTATTTTTTTTCATTGGTGATCATGTCATTGATTGTTAGTCTACTAGTGTTTTCTTCCATCGAATGTATTATTTAATTACATTTGAATACATGAATCGAAAAGAAATAGAAAAAGGAAGAGGCATTTGTAAAGGATTTTCAAAAGTTCCAATGTATTTGATTGGGATATGGTAAATAATTAAAAGGAAATGCATTTAACTAAATAATTAAGATGTTAATTAAAGGTAAGGATTCAAATCTTATCAAATTAATTAAATAATAAATAAATTATACAAAACCAATTAAATAACAAATAAATTGTACAAAACTAGCTCAAATCCACTTTAATTAACTTAAAATTTGATTGGTTTGATGTTCATTCGATCTTATAATCTTTCGAATCAAACAAACCATCCATTTAACTGATCTAGTCAGCCAACACGAGTTTACTACAATGTTTAATGAACCCACAAGCTCAAATTTTTCATGTTCGAGAACCCTGCATTTATTATATCCATAAGCCCAAATGTTAAGGAATCACCAAAATCATTGTATGTATGGCCGTTTGGACTCCTAATCCATGCTGATAAGTACTGCAGCTTTTTGATTTTTTTTTTCAATAAAGGTAAACCCTTGCCCAAATTGGAATTGGCCCAATCTCCCGACTATTGTTAATTAGCGGGCGCATAATTCACCTTTCCTCTCTTCCCACTCTAATATTCAGTAATTAAAAAAAAAAGAAAAAGGCAGCCATGTTTTATGATAGTAGTGGAAAAAGAAGATTGTAGGAAGCCACTCAACCTGTTTTAATATTGTGGGCATATATCCCTTATGGAAGACAGCAATGACTGAACTTCAGCATGCATTAAACCATTTTATCAAGTATTGAAGGTCAGCTGTTCTTCACCTCTGTACCCTTTAAATCATGGCAAAGAAAAAACTCATGCGACCTCACAAAGCAAGGAATCTCAAAGATTTTGCTCCCAACATGAATCTTCCATATAAATATATATTATAGTAGAGTATGGACTATTTTATAGTTTTGTTGCAGAGAGATAATAGAACACACTGGCTTCCTGATATCATGCAAATTGTGGGAACCCATTTGAATATGGGATAATCATAAAAAAAACTCATTAGAGGTCCTCCAAGATGTGGATGGCTTCAATTCCAAGGGACAAAATTAAGTTATCATGAATAATGAACGCAAAAAAAATAAAAAAAAGTAAGCAGAAACATAAGATATAAAGTTAGATTGATCTGTCAACAGTTGCATAATTGTTAATATAATGTTAAACTTTTAATTTGTAATGATTACAATTCAAATACAAAAAAATTGTTATATGAATCTGTTTTTTGGGAGAAGGAAAAAGAAGGGGTTCGAAGATGAGCCAAGTACAGTTAACCAAACTATAGGAGTTGTTCATTGTTCCAAAGCTTTTTGGGTATGTGCTGGCTCGAATGTCAATTATTGAATGAATTCAAGTTCGGACAATATATAACAATCACTGAACACACATTTAGAATCAAAATCTAATCTATTGTTTTGATTAATGATAAATAAATATATTTATTTGTTTTTTATTTTTTATCATATTTTCAATACAACTTTTATATATACCTAATATTTTTTCTTTACTCAATAATTGACTTACGAGATAAATGTATACGAATTTTTAATAAAATATCGAGATGTTCTTGTTTGGACTTATAAAGAGATATCCAAACTTGATCCAAAAATTACAGTACATCATCTAACTATTAAGAAGGTATTTAATCAATCAAGCAAGCTCTAAAAATTAATGATTCTTTGATAAAATTTGATTGATGGATTAGTGAAAGTGTCTTTTGTCTTGGCCACTTTGGACTAATTCTACAAACTTTATAAGCAAAAGGAAAAAAAGGGATGATGAAAGATTGATTAAGATGTACAATTATCTGATTGCGGTTGGCTGATTGGAGTTAAAAGGTTGTTCAATCAATTGTGAAGGGCTAAAGAGATAAACCCCTCTTAACATAGAAAAAATACATCACATCACCAAAAACCAAAAGAAAAGACTACGGCATTCTCTTCCAATCTGGAATCCACATTATCCTATAGTCATCTCCATTAATTGGCACACATGAAACAGTGGGCATTCATGCAACAGCTGGACACTAAAGGGAAAAGAAAGTATAGGAAGAAGCTTTCAAATATGGATGAAGAAATTGTTGTAAGAGATTAACCTAAGAAAAAACCCATTGAGGTCTACATTTGATATTTTTGCATGGATAATGATAGACATTTTGTCAATATTACTATTATTATAACTGCCTTTTAGAAATTGACTTTTTTTTAATAAAATAAATTACAATTTAAAAATAAAAATTAATTTAAATTTTATTAAATATCATTTTTAAAGTAATTATATTTAACTCATTTCAAATTTCGATCGTTACTCATTTGTTACGATGTTACCATTTATCGAGGGAAGCGAGGTTTATCTTTAGGCATTTTTAGGCCCTAAAATTAAATGACTTTGAGGCCTTAAAAAGCAGAGCACTTTATAAAGGCCAAAGTGAATATCGTTAGATTAATAATTAGGATTAGATAAGAAAAAAGTTGAAATGACAGCCTTATACTTTTGCAGTAGGGCCAATTTTCTTTTCTTTTTTGGCCACAAAGAATGCCTATCTCGCCTGTCCGTCCCATGCTTCCTGCCATCGTGCTCCCATCACAAGAAACCAAACCAAAGTCCCTTATTTTGTGGTGAAAAGGAATCATTAGTAATGGTTTTTTTTTTTTTTTAAATACTAATTTAAGTAGAATTCAAAACATAAGAAATATATATTATAGAACAATGATATTATAATTATTTTAAGAATTTTTTTATACTTGTTATTATTTATTTTGGAAGAAGCAAATTCTATAAAAGACAATTTCATTATTTAATGACTACATATGTTTTAATTTATGATAAAAGTCCAAATTTTAAATAAAAATAGTGTTGGCATATTATGATAAATAATTAGATGCTCTAAATTAAGGCATATATATTTTTTAAAAAATCATAAAACAGATGATAAATATCAAATTTTAAATTTTTTAAATATAATTTTTTAAAAGTGATTATATGAATTTTTTGATTAAATTTGAATTTAACATATATATATGTATATATTTTATATTGGAGGATGATGGATTAATTTTATAATCTTATAAAGGGAAATTAACACACAATTTCATGTATTAAGCAAAATTTTAAAAAGACCATAGAAATTTATCATGAATCATGAAATACCATGAAGATGTGAAGAATTGATGCAATTAATTTTGAGCTAATGGAAAATTTTTTTAAATACTTCATATAAGATTTAATTGCTAGGTTCCAAGTTTAAATAAATTCTTCGTTTTGAAAATTAAGATTATCAAGTTTGCTTGAAATGAAAATTCTAATTCCCAAATTTCCCACTGGGTAAAAATCATTCAACCAAAAATGGTAATAAAATCTGTTTCAGTCGAATGCAGCTTTCACGGACAATTACCATAGTTAGCTTAGATTCCATATTCTTTTTATCCTTCACTCTCTCTTTCTCTCTCTCTCTCAGCTCTGTTTTTAAATATTAAATGCAAAATCTTTTTCCTCTTACCAATCACGTTCCTTAATCACTTCCTCTCTCTTTCTCTCTCCTTCTAAAATCACTTGTTAATTACAACTCTAAACTCGTCCCTCTTTTTTCTCTCTGTCTCAAATTTCTCCCATATTTAGTTTCTGGGCTTTGTCCAAAACCTCGAAACAGAGTGTTTAATATTGCTAAAAAGAAAAAAAAAATTGTAAGAAGATGACAGTTGAGCGAGTAATCAGTGAAACAAAGGATCAGTTTCCAATTGGCATGAGAGTTTTGGCCGTTGACGACGACCCTACTTGCCTTTTGCTGCTCGACACTCTTCTTCGTCGATGCCAGTACAATGGTTTTTTTTTTTTTTTTTTTTTTCGAGTTTATAGAAATGAGTTATTGGTTTTGTGCTTTTCTGTTTAGTATTTGTAGTTGTTTTGGTTGTTGGTGTTGGTTGGTTTCCTTTAAGGTGAAATCTTTGTGAACTTTGGGGACTTCATTCATCGCATTTGCATTGTAAAAATCTAAAGAAAGATATCGTTTTTTTTTGTTTCTCTTCGTTTTGCATATAGTTCTTAGATTCGATTCTTTTTTTTTTTTTTTTTGGGAAATGAGATTTTGTTCATGATTTGGTGATTTTGTGTTATTTAATCTCCAATAAATCACGCCTTTGGATAATTTTGCCATTTTGGACTCTTTTTTCTAAGAATCCTATTTCAATCTTTTAATTTGCTATTGTTCGTATATTGATTCAGTCGACTGTATTTGTGGATTTTGGATCTTTGAAAATGTTAAAAAGATGGTTCATTTAGTGTGAAAATTGTGCATTTTGCAGTTACCACAACAAGTCAGGCTATCACAGCATTAAAGTTGTTGAGAGGAAACAAGAACAAGTTTGACTTGGTTATCAGCGATGTCCATATGCCCGACATGGATGGTTTTAAGTTACTTGAGCTTGTGGGGCTTGAGATGGACCTGCCTGTCATAAGTAAGATAGTAATAATAATACTTTTTTCTCTTTGCTTTTTTGGCTTTTAAATAATTCTTTTGACATTTTTATTAAATTTTAACATTTGAGACAAATTGTTTATCCATAAATTCCAGTTTTTGAAGGACTTTCGATACAGCCTTCATCATTTTGGTTATCCCATGCAAAAAAGGAAAAATTTTCAGAAAATTTGGATTTTGGATCGTTTTTCTTTGATTTAACATTTGCCAAATCAAAGTTGATTACAAAGCTGATACTTCATGAACTTGCTTTCTTCCAATTTATGTTAAAGTTGTAGGAACAATTGGATTTTTATTGTAAATAATGATATGATAAAATGCGTTCAGTGTTGTCTGCAAATGGTGATACCAAGCTTGTGATGAAAGGGATTACTCATGGAGCTTGTGATTACTTGCTGAAACCTGTTCGAATTGAAGAGCTACAAAATATATGGCAACATGTAGTCAGGAGAAAGAAATTTGACCAAAATGACTGGTATAATTCTGGCAGCCAAGACAAGCCTCATATGGGTAGTGGTGAGGCTGCAGGTATAGGAAAAGTTGATCAGAATGGGAAGCTCAACAAAAAGCGAAAGGACCAGAATGAAGATGAGGATGAGGAGTGTGATGAGAATGGCCATGATAATGAGGATCCATCAACCCAAAAGAAACCTCGTGTTGTTTGGTCAGTGGAGCTGCATCGCAAGTTTGTTGCAGCGGTTAATCAATTGGGCATTGACAGTATGCTCTCAACTTCTCAGCTTTGGCTACGTATATGGCATATCTATTACTACTGTTTTTTTGTTGACTCACATGTCTATCCCTCATTTTTAATGTGTAATAACTCTTATTATTATTGTTTCTGCTATTATCCAAGAATATTCTGATTTGAGATGATATTTGACCTGTTGAATCCTGCATTATAAATTTCTACTCTTAACATATATTATTGATATTTCACCAATCAATTCTTGGGTTAAAGAATGTTCCTGTTGGTGAAAGTTCAGTTCTTGCTGGTTTATTGTTTAATTTTGTGGTGAATCTATTTATGCATGAAGCTTTCAGTTTTAACTTTTTATGTGGTTGTAATGCAGAGGCTGTACCTAAAAAGATCCTAGAATTGATGAATGTTGAAAAGCTTACCCGAGAAAATGTTGCCAGCCATCTCCAGGCATTAATTCTTAACTTTCCTGCCATAGTTACTACAATCCAGAACTTACCATGAAGCTAACTATCTCATTTTTGTGGTTGCAGAAATTTAGGCTTTACCTGAAAAGAATCAGCTATGTGGCAAACCAGCAAGCTCATATGGTGGCAGCCTTGGGCAGTGCAGATTCTACCTATTTACGGATGGGGTCTCTGAATGGACTTGGGGATTTCCATAGATTGGCTGGATCTGATCAGCTTCCCAATGCAGGCTTTAGATCTTTCCCACCTAGTGGGGTGCTTGGAAGATTGAATACACCTGCTGGACTAGGTATTCATGGCCTTCCTTCTCCAGGAATGATTCAATTAAGTCATGTCCAAAACTCGGGCAATGCTGGTAATGATCAGAGCAAGTTGCAGTCTTTCGTAATTCCTGGAAACCATAATGCTAACATTCTACTAGGAATGCCAATGTCATTAGAACTTGATCAACTGCAAAATAACAAGGGTGTTAGACACATTGGAGAGCTGCCAACTGCTGATAATACAACTGTTTTCCCTGTTTCTGGCAGTTTAATAGATGCAAGAGTAGCTGGTTGCTCCAATAATCCACTTCTTGGTGTCACAAGTAACTCCTTGATGTTAGAAGGAAGCTCTCACCAGGCCATTCTGCATGCTACTAATTTGAGAGACAGTGTTTCTACAATGGTTTTCCAAAATGGGAATACTTTATCTGACTTTAATTGTATAGCTCCTGCTTCCAATCAATTGCGGGATTCAAAATCAAATTTACAAGGCCAAGCATCCCTAATCAGCTGTAATGCAGGGCCAATAATCAGAAGTGATCCTCAAGAATGGAATGCCCCCAGAAAAGATGCCCCTTACCAATCAAATATTATGTGTTGTTCTATAAACTCTTCAATCCCTGTTAATGGTGCTATGGTTCAGTTGGGCCAGTGCTTGGACCAAAATAACCCAGTTTTCCATAGAAATATGGACCTGGATTCTATTGGACCGCCTAATTTTGTTGATCCCTTATCCATCAAGCATAATAAAGGTGAAAGCTCAGCCATGGAACCATTAGTTATTGACAAGGAAGGGTATCTTATAGTCCAACAAAGGCCACAGGGAAGTTACATTCCTGATAACATTGGCCCCTTGGGAGATCTGGCAAGTGCAATTATGAAACAGGTAAGACTATTCATATCTTTTTTTGCTACTAATTTCTTCTTTGGTTGGTATTTAAATTATATTCCTTAGTTTCAGCCATCAAATTAGTTTCAGCTAATTTTTCTTAGTACCTGCTAAAGGTAGAGGATATGGATGCAATCTGAAAGGAGAATTTTTTGGCAAATAAGCGAGTGATTTGTACATCTTACATATGGACACCAATTGAAAGACTTAGCATACCAAAGCATGCTCTACCAATGTAGTGAAATAGCTTTAGGACTTATTAGCATTCATTTTAGCCTAGAGTGTGTTTTCTTCTGGTACATCAGCTTGGGGTTCAAATGGCTTGAGAGACCTTGAATCTTCTTCTATCATCTACGTAGGATGCCAAGTATTGATGGACATTAATTCTATACTAAGATTAAATATGGGTGAATAAATACAGAAGATCTCTTCTAATAAAATATTTCTTAAACCGAGAGCTGATCCTTTCCTTAAATTCAGAAGCAATCCTCAGCAAATGAGCTTCTATCATTTAACTTTAGATGTAGACAGTGAATTTTGCAAGGTCTATATTTCTAGTACCTAGCTTGCATGTATTTGAACATATAAAAATTGGATGGACAGGTATCATTTAAATTGCATAGGACATGCAAACCAAAAAGCAACCCAAACATGATTAAAATAATTTGTTTATCACTATGTGCTTATCGTGTTGTGGCGCAGATCTTTTCCATTATGCATATTATATTCTCTACAAACTATGGTAGGAAAGGATTTTTGTAGTTATTGCTCCTAAAAAGAATAGATTTGGCCCTTCTTAAGGAATAAGGACACTCAAAATAATTTGGAATATCTACTCTATTGAGGGAATTGTTGTTGCTACAATGATGGGCAAGCCAATGTTGACTTCATGTTTATTATGGCTGATATAGAGTTTACTCCAGGGATATTTCTTGAATTTAAACATGGTCCAACTTTTCACCAAGTGTCCAACTAGCCTGCCAGAATAGGACACTGTGTCATTTACTGGTCTTATCAGGTTCCTCCCTATCCTTCTAATTCTGTTGCCCGTCTGCGCATGGCTAAAGTACATTAAGTGTACTCTAAATCGATTCTAGGGTCAGTACATCCTGGTCATTGATCTGATTGGAGAGAGAGTCTATAACGTTGACATTACTTTTATGGACTTGGATTAACCGTCATGGTCTTAAACAAATTAGATTTAGGCATGAGAAGTTTTTAAATGAGTCCTAAAACTCACATGCTGCTTTCTTCCTTCTGTAATATAATTATGTTTTCTTAATCTCTATGCCATTAGCTATATAGTTACTCAAAATGTCTGTCATGGTTTAACTTTTCCACTTTATTCCACCAATAATGTTGGAGCATAGGATTCTTGGATTGAAAATTTCCTGATAAATTCTCTCATTTTCTTTTTTATCAAGATATCTATAAACTAGATGCAGCCTGAAGAACTTGATGTTTACTAACTTTTAGTAGTTGATGTATATCTCTTGTTTGCTGTTGAATATTGATGCATCAATAACAATAACTTTGTTGGACGTAGGCTTAAATTTGATCTGACCATTTTAACCATAATTGTGACAGTGGGTATCGTTGTTTATGATGCAGGACCAAGATAAAGGGAAACCAGCAGATGGCGATTTTGGATGCAATGCTTATTCTCTCAGGAATTGCATCTGAGATTAGAATGTAGCTACAAACAGCAAAAGAAGGATCTGCGTTGCAAGCGTTGCTCTTCTTGATAGTTTTGCCTCGTGTAACACTGATAACAAATATATCTATTATCTTGTTTCTGCCTTTATCAACCTTTTCTCTGTTCTTGTTTTTTCCTGGCGACTTGCAGTTTTTATTCTGTCAAAAACATCTTAAGAGCTCAGTTTTTCTCGCTGATTGAGATGATCAACTTCTCCAGCTAAGGCCTGTACGATATTTTATAATGAATAAATATTAATTGCTCGGGGCCCAACTATGCAGTATGGAAATTATATAATGTTTGCTTAATATCTACAAGCAATATTTCATAATTAAATTGGATTCGGATTCATCAGGACCCCACGCTGAAAGCTAAAAATGGGCTTTGCTTCTTGAAGAAAAGCGTAGCCCAATATTCTGATGGCAGAAGAAATAAGTCAAGATTATTTCTTGCGAAACTTCTTCAAATGTTATGTTGTATAAGAAATTTTGGACAACAGTCTTGGAAATATCATTATCACAAATATCATTCCCATATATAGTAATACTGGTAATCCTAAGTTAGTCACCACCCTCTACCCACTTTCAATTGTTAAGATGTAATAAAGGCTGCAGGAACTTATTGCAGGCTGTGGGAACTTATTGCATACTGGTGAGAAAGTAATGAGAGAAAGCATTCAGGGATTGAGGAAGTAAACCAATCCTCACATCAATGCCCCTCGAATCACTAGGATTCTGCATGAAATAAGCGACTTGGGGGATTGGAGAGAGCAGTGGAGATGCATAGGCAGCTTCTCCATGTAAAAAATCAATCCTGTGGAATGGCATCCTTGTCCAATCAGAGACTAGTGTCAGCTCATTCATTGGAGGGAGAGTGCCCTGAGGTCCATCTAATGCCTGGTTATATGCAATCACATAGTCGTTGCTGATTGAATTCTTGGCTTCCTTTATCTTCTCGACAGTAGCTTTATGGTTTCCTGCCTCCAGTTCTTCAGCTGTTAAGGCAACAGAGGCTAGTACATAAGCGTTACCACTGAAACCTTTTGGCAGTGGGGGCACCATCTTGTTCCTTATGTCCACAGCAAATTGCAAGCAAACAATTGCTCCCTTCCTTACCCCTAAAGCCCTAGTCCTTGCCTGGAGTGAGAAAAAAATCACTATTTAATCATAAATATATGTGCACATTACCTGCATAAATAGCATATGATCATCTTCATTAGAAATTTGAATTACTTCTATCCACTAAGATGGTACTCAACTTTAATTAACACAAAAAATGAGGCCTGCTTGGATTTATATTTCTGGCAAAAGTCCCAGTTGCCACTTTCCTAGAAACTTGAATTCTCAAATTATTGCTTGTGTAGTTGTTTCTGAAACAAAACCCTAAGTTTCCTGCCCACTGCCTAGATGGTACTATTTGATTTGGTCATTCTAGCTATTTTGGCTGCATAGACTCACATGGCAGATTGTATGGGCAAATTTGGTCGACTTATCTTTTTGATGATTTTCATGACGTGCATACAAGAAATGATCCATCAGTTGAAAATTGAAAATTTAGTAGGCAGTTAATTAAGGAATTAATTTACCTTCCATAAGTGAGCTGCAAGCAGCTCAAAGGATGAACATGAAAGGCTACCTCTATCACCAAAGACCTTCCTTTTTAAGCTTTCTATCATTGCACCACTCAGGTGGAATGTTTTGAGAACAAGATTTGAGTTTCCCACGTCAGGAAAATTCCTGGTTCCAAACTTCATATCAGGACCACAATTTTGACCAGCAATAGCCTGTTTTATCAACTGATATAGATGATCTATGGCTGCAGCCCTTTTTGGCGAGCTCCCACTTTCAGGCAATTTTGTAAGCCCCTGATTACCCACCAACAGTGCCCCCCTCTCATGCACAGGTTTGTAAAGCTCGGTGCCTCTCTTTTCTTTCAAAATAGCGGAATTAGAAGCCCATGCATGGAGAAAATCATAGGTGGCCGGTCCATCAAACAAAGAGTGGCTCGCACCAGTACCGATTGAATAGCCTCCACACGCGAACCTTGTAACCTACATCATACAACAAGTTGTTCGTGCTTTGCTTTCATTTTGTTTTGTCCATGTTACAGTGCCCGATAGAAAAAGGTGTTAGCATCAATATGTGACATATGAGTTTGGGATCATTTTTTTATTTTTAAATTAGTAGTAATATTTTGTTGAGAATTATGATGAAGTTGCATTCGATATTATGGTTGCCTAGCACCAAAAGAATGCTAACTCTAAGGCATATATATAAGAAGAAAACGCTAGGCCTGGCTCACTGCCACGGGGTGCTTGTGATCAATAGACTTCTTCAAGAGAAGCAACGTTTGAAACATTAAAGAGTCATTGTTTGATAATTTTGTCTTATAGATTGATGAAACCTAAATTATTAAAAGGGTGACAGGAAAGAAAAATTTACATGGCAACGACCAAAAAGAACAATAATATGAGAAGCTCGTGTGTGTGTGTGTGTGTGTGTATATTCGTATGTATGTATGTATGTATCTATGTACTATGTATGTTTAAGAAATAACTAAAATCATCGCGGCTGGACATCATGGAATTTCATTTCAAGATTTTGTTGTCAGTTAAAGAGAGGCAGAAACAGTCAAAACAGGATTTGTTCTAGAAAAATGTTCTCACCTGAGCAACAACTAAAGGCATCTCCGAGAAGTTCCCCTGAATAACAGGCTTGTAAGCCAAATACTCGAAGAATTCATTGTATTGAGAAAGATCTCCAAGTTCAACGATCTTAGCATTGGTAACTGCCTCAACTAGAACTGCACCATTATTGTTGCACCAAAGATTAAGTTTACCATCACTAGGGTTCAAGCTCAACCTACCTGCAGCTGGATACCAAGTCGAAAGAGTCTCTTCCAACCCAGATTTCAAGCGACTAAAAATTGAATCCAGAGACAAGTTCTGGTAAGCACAAGAAGATTTGTAGAAGAAAACCACGTACATAAGCATCGGACACTGCCTGTCTAAATTGGAAAGATGAAGAATTTGTTGTGGATGCAAGGATTTGGGGACTACGCAAACTGTCCTAGTAACCCGAACAGTTGGAGAACTCTCACCATGTTTAGTGGCCATGGATGTTTCTTTGTTGCTCTCTCTTTTGTTGTGAGAAATAGAAGTGAATGGCATCTACATTTATAAAGAGAAGAGCTTAGATTCCTAGGAGCTAACCTATGTCTCTTAGTGGGATTTATTTTTTATGTTTTGTGGATGGGGAATGGTTTGTAATCCTTGTCTTTGATTAATTAATGCTTTGCATGCTGCCCTTTTTTTTTTGTGTGTAAGTCCGAGTGTCCGACTGTAATATCTGGCTCGCACTGCCAAGGTGTTGACGGTAACCTACTGCCTGATTATGCTCCAAACTCTCATAAGAACATCAAATGAAGGACCCCAATGTCTATGGGTTGAACCCTTTGTGAAACTCGCTAGAATCTAATCAGCAAACTAGGGTTTCTAGTTGTCATTTCCGTTTGCTGTACTATTCCTTTCAAAGTTTGTGGGCTATGATTCTTTTTAGCGCAATATATATATTCTTTCTAAGTTTGTTTGCGCATACTAATGAGTTAAGAAAATAAGAACTTTTTTTTTTGTAAAAAAATCCATAAATTAGTAAAATTTTTAAGCTTAAAAAAGGCTAAAAATTTTATGCGTACATGTATGTAAAGCTAATAATGTTGGATTGTTTATAATTTTGTATATTGGGACATTATATTCTTCTCTGCAACAAAAGGACTAGAAGTGGGTACATATATATTGTGTTTTCGGTTGATATCACCATTCATGTATGTATAATCATATGTGAATCATTGTGCAAATAACCGATTAACCATTTTAGCATGAGATCATGGAAAGCAAATCCAGCAGGAAATCCCCACATTCAGTGAGCTTTTGTTTGCTTTGTTGAAATTAGTTCAATGAGATTCTTTTCACTTGCAATATATAAAAATGTTTCAAAGAACAGAAACTTGTATTTTTGTTTGGCTTTAAAGA